CAAACAGCCAAATCTGGATTCCACAGCATCCATCTCGTCCTTGGGGATCTCAGCAGGTAGAACAAACACGTCTCTTTCCTGTACTAATCCAAGCCAACCGCTCGCCACTGGAAAGAAAGGAAGCTTCCTTAGTGTTTCTTTGTCGTCGTCTACTAAATCCTTGACACTGCGGCTAAAGTAATTAAGAATACTTTCAGCTTCCATGCACTTAAGTTTATCACTAAGGGAGTCGGGATTCGTCTTGAGTTTCTGATTAAGCGCCGTTAGAAGCGAATGGGGTGTCTTCAAAGTCGCTACGAGACAACAAGGGAAATTGTATGAATCCGTCTTCGTGTAGGACAACGCATCAACACTGCTGGATGCCATCACAGCTGAGTTAAGTTCAGGTAATGTCAAACCTCTTAAAGCCTCGACCAACCTCTTGCTTGATTGACCACAACCACCAAAATCAATAACCGACTCCGCCATTTTCAGAGGCACCAAAAAATGATTTACCAACTGGTTTGTCTCTGTTGCTGGAAGAATGCTCCATTTAGATAACGGCTTAAGCAGATCACGAATGAACGAAGTTTTGTTTTCGTCTGTTACGTCTGATTCCCTCAATGTTTTGCTGGTAAATCTCTCCAAAAAGTCCCAGACTCTGTAAATCCAGCGACGATTCGGCAAAGGAGATTTTGGATCTTCAGGAGACCACCTCATATAGTGATCCTCGCTACAGAAGCATTCAGGAAGTGTAAGGTGCAAATTTGTCGAGAGTATTTGCATATCCAGGGGTCGGAATACAGGGGCTCTTTTAAGATCAACAGTGAACAGCAGTGAACTCTTTTGTGCACAAATAATGACGGAGATTGTGGTAAAATATCGTAAAAATGGCTCAAACACCGAGGTTCTTTCTCGCTAAATACGCGTAGGTAGTTATCTTGTGTGAGAAGCAATGGAAGACCCGCGATATTCTCCAGAAAACGTTCATCAGCACTGCAGTACTTCAGAATGCCAATTACTGCCCGTTTTTCCTTGAATGGAGTCTTGTCAATGGGAAACGGGATCTCGCCAATACTACAAAGCGGATTTACATCATTAAACGACTTGAAGAAGTCCATAACAACAAGAGGACATAGACAGCAAACCTCTACTCCCGCTTCTTTGAATGAACGGTAGACGGTGATTGATAGTGTCACTAAATTGAACCCAGTTCGTAGCATCGTTTCTTCGAATTGCTCTTTTCGCCTAATCCGGGTTTCCTCTTTCTTTCTCCTTTGCTCCTCTTCAATATTTGGCCTTAGAGAAAGTGCAGCAAAGTAGCCTTCGATCTCGAGATTGTTGAAGAATACTTGGTTCTTGCCTGTGCCTTGAGGGGGAAACCATGTTACAACTGACTTCAAATTTTTAGGACGGTCATCTGACATTTCTTTCAAAGATCTCACTACTGGAATTAGGCGCATCTTTTTCTTGCTCATTTCTTGGTACACGGAATCAGCTAACGCCTTCCAGTGTGAATCTTCAAAGGGGTACCTTGGGAAAAGTCTTTCATAGGAAGTTAGCCTTTTCTTGATCTCACTTTTGCTAAAGGTGCAATATTGACCTGCAGCATCCTGCCCAACTGGCAGCTGAATGTATCCTCGTACCTTGTCCAGGAGAGTGAGGTAACAGGAGGTGATCACATCACGTAAGAGGGCTTTATTCCAGTCACTCCGATAGCCACCAGCTTCATCCAACCACAAATTTCTTCCCGTCACGTAGTCCACAGCAAAGTGACCATTAATATAGACGGGCAAATTAGTTCTGAAAAGAACTGGAAGAAAGCAGTACGGTTTACTTTCTTTACCTTTTCGTTGCCCAGATGACCTGCTGCTGCTAAAGAGGCAAGCCACACCACCAAGAGGTAACATCCCAAGGTTTTCCTCTCTGAAAGCTTCAACAATACTCTTTTCGACAGGCTTCTCAAAGCCGACCTGTTGTACAATCAACCAAGTCTCCTCCTCACCAACGCTGTCACGAAGTGTCATGGTATAAATGCACTTTTTCGGTTGTATACTTGTAGGGAGGAAATCTTCACGTTTGGCTTGCTTTCCAACTTGATTCATGTAATCAGCGAAACACTGCCTTTTCCTCTCATCTTCTTGAGTCATAACAACTTCAATGGAGTAGAACTCTGCCAGTTTTTCACTTCTGTCTATCCCTGCAAAGCTAATCTTCCTCAAATTGTTAACGAACAGAAGAACGTCAAAAATCTCCATCTTCAGATCTTTCATCATTCTATCGAGTTGATGCACGGAAACAGGTTTCTTTGATATTTTGGATTCTTCAGCCATTTCCTGGGACTTCAGCGGAAATCGAAACATCGTTGCATTCTTTATGGGAAACAACTCTTCAAGATAGCAGGGAAAAACATCTGGAAACTTTTTCTTCAACCTATGGATGTCTTTGTACATTCTTCTTGGTTTTGCATCACTTGCACACGGAACGTACTTGCAGTGAGGGTCAAACACGCAGAAAACATCTCCAGTTTCCTCACCCTTCGACCTGAATGACGGCACATCAGTCAGGTGGTACACAGCATTAAACCCTACTCCATAGTGACCAGTCTTGTATGGATCTTCTCCTTTGCTGCCCTTGACAAGGTTACAAATTCCTTCAATATCCGCATTGGTAAACGGTCTGTTGACATACACACGAAGTGCAGGACCTTGCAGAGGCTTCCAACTTTCTTGGAACACTCTTTCATTAGGGTGGTGTCTAGGATCCTTGATAAAGCAAATTTCGGTTGCTTGTGCATCATCTGAATTCTGAATAAGCTCTTTTAAAAGCTCTTTCTCGCCTTGGTGGCCTGTCAAAATCCGTTTCAATCCATTTGTTAGCTCTTCCTTTTGCCCAAAAGGAAACCCAATATCGTGTTGTTGCAAGGCCCCTTCTCGGCGTGTTTTCACTCCCAGTTGTTCACAGGTCGACCAGGGAATTTCTTCATAAATGAACTGTTCCTCTGGATCATCGGGCATCCAAAGACAATCCTTGTAGCAAAGGTCAGCTACTGCAAGCATTTTCCCACCAGCATCAGGAAGATAAATATGAGTCGAGCTTTCCTCCTCGGAATACCATTCTTCATTACAATGTCTCAAAGTCTCCCCAAGTTGGATAGCCATATTGACTGCCACTTGCAAGGTTTGCTCATCGAGTTGTGTTTCTGCAAACTGTTGTTTTATTTTTCGAAGAGCTGAAATGTATTCCTTCGCGTCGAATTGCTTTCTAACACCACTGAATCTCAGGAGTTTGGCGTAAGAATCTGATAAATTTTCTGGAAGTTTATTAAGGAAAGGGGAACAATCTGTCTTCACCTCGAAGGCGACCTCATCTGCGGACAGAAAGCGCCCCCCAACTAAAATGAACGGCTTCGTAGACAGGAATTCCTTAACGGAGGACGTACAGTTGGCAATATTTTCTTGTAGAAAAGAATACGCCTCTGTGCAAACGCGGCTCACTTCGTCTAAACTTTTACGATCCAGTGTACCAATGCTGGCGGAAATGGCTTCGCTTAGTTGTTTCATCACGTGCTCTGTAGTAACTCTTTTTTCGAGTAATCTTAGCAATTCTGTCGCCCTCTTTGGGATGTCTAGGTCGACAACTAACTCCGTACAACACACCAGGTATTTGGCGAAAGGAAGAAAGACGTCCTTTGGGGCTGCCAAAAGCCTTCGAGATATTCGATAATCTTCGCTTTTCCAGCGAAGGGGAAATGATTTCGGTCGCTCTAGTACTGGGAGAAACTCAGCCTTGACAATGCGAGAAATGACGCCTTCCGAGGGGCCTTTATCTTTTAGCTTCAACTTCTTTTGTACGAATTCTATCAAAAACTTAGCACGGTTTACTGCCGCCTTACTGTCCACTGAATTAAGTCGTTGGACACTCTCTGCTCTTTCTGCAATATCTTCCCAAGGAAGATCGTGTGAGTTCATTCCAAGTACCTCTAGTTTGGCAAGCACTTGTGGGTTGCGAAATGTATTCTCCTCGCCAAAGGGAAACCTACCATCGTCTGGGAAAAACAGCGAGGAAGATTCTTTGTTGGGATTCACGAACTGTCTCGGCCGCTTGAGCATCTTTCCATCAGGTGAAGCGGGAATGCAGGCGTTGTTTATTATCAAGTCTTCCAACTCCTCGTTGTTTTGATTTAGTGCATACAGCACAAGAACATCCCGCTGGTCTGAAGTAACCCTTGTAATGTTTGGAAAGAAAACATCACGGAAAAACCGAAGCCTGTCGTATGTTTTACCTCTTAGCACATTAAACAGATCACACCGTTCAAAAGACTGGAATACTTCGGCTGGCAAATCAATCACCACGTCATTTCCTTTAGGGAAGTTACAAAACACAGCAAACGAAATTTCTCCAATTTCAGGATCCATTCGAAGGTCTGGGTGGAGAAAAACCACTTGAGTAATGTCAACCCATTTTTTTCCATTGGAAAACAGAGCATGAGATCCATTAGCAATTTGCTTGTAGAATGACTGTGTTATAGACCAGCATTGTTCGCTTACGTCAGAAGCCCTTGGCCACAGTGAATGGAAAACATAAGATCCGTCTTCAGGGAGAATTTTCTTAAAGTCCTCAAGGAGGCACAAATACGCAGTAGATATGGAATCAGTCATTAGAACATTATTCCATTCCTCGCCATAGCATGTCTGGTCGTCTTCAAGTTTGCCCTGCAAACGACGCCTGTGAGAATCTACTGCAAATTCACCATTTATGTAAACTGGCAGGCCACTGTGAATCGGTAGTGGAAGATAGCAGAAAACCGTTCCATTCTTTGCTGGTGTGGGCAAAAAGGTGTTGTAGTCCACACTAAATAGCTGAGCAGCTACGCCTCCGAACGGAAGAAGATTAGGATCGCTTTCAGAAAACGCCATTGATTCTCCACATCCCATTGAGGACACGATCAACCAACTTTCTCGTTTCCTTCCAGGGGGCTTCTCTTTTTGAAAAAAACTGGCTCCAAGCTGAGTTAAAAGTCATTCCACATCAACGACAATGGATGATTCAGGGAATTCAGTTGGTTTGACTCCTCTCCTCTTGGAAATTATTTTAACCTTGGATGATGCTTGAAGAAAATTAGACTGCACCAACAACTTCTTCTGTTCTGCACTTAGTTTGTGCGAAGTGTCTGGTAGTGCGATAGGGAAAGACAATTCTCTCAGTATTCCTCCTTGGGCGAGTGATTTGTTTACCTGAAACAGTAGCGACGGTTGTGGATTCTGCCCTAATGATTTTGGTAAAAAGTAAATTCCAACGCGGAATATGTTTTGCGTAAAAAGAAGAACCGTGTTTGCTTTCTCGAGAAACATTTCAAACAGTTTCCTCATTTCGTGGTCGTCGTAAAACTTGTCTCTGATCTCACTGACTGCTGCCTGTTCCCTTGATCTCAATGGAAATCTGAAAAGCGTACCATCGTACGAGTAGTCTTCCTTGTCAAGGCTCAAATCACAGCCAAATACGCCATTGAACGGTTTAAACTGATTTTTAAAGGTCTGCAGGTTTCTGACGTTTTTATTGAGATTAATCTTCATACATGTCTTTCTTGTGTCCTTGATGGCAGTTCCCAGGTGAGATGTGTTAGGATCAAGTATGACAAAATAGTTCTTACTTACAAACATCGGCACATCTGTAAGGTTGTACGCTGCATTAAATCCAAGTCCAAATCTACCGATCTTTTCAGTGTCATACACACTGGTTGCTTCATTAAGTTTTGTGATGTTGACAAAATCCTCATCCTTGAATGTTGCATCGTTGTACACCCAGAGAGCGGGACCTTGGCATTTTTTCATTCCCTCGTCAATGAGAAACGTCATAGCATCCTCGTTCGTCCTTTCATCGTAAAGAAATCTAACGTCAGTGGCTCCAGCATCATCTGCGTTTTTCACGAGCTCTGTTAGCACTGAAAGACCATCCTTGTAGTCTTCTAGAAGTCGATTCAATCGAGTACTAAGCTTCTCCTCCCGTCTAAACTCTTCTTCAATTGATAGCTCATCAGGGTCCAACAGTCTATTTGTTAACGATGGTACACCAAGTCGAACAGCAGTGTTGTTAGGTACATTAGAATGCACGTAATAGTATTTAGGCTCTCCATCCTCGCCTTCACTGTGCAGCTCCTCTTTTTGATCATTGTACATGCAGTGCTCGACTGGTGCAAGCTGAACTTTCAATTTGTCCTTTACACGGACAGGAAAAAGAATCTTTCCCTGGACCTTAGGCGATAATTCCTGACTTGCCAACTCGTTCAAAATGTCGACCGATAACTGGAGATCGTGTTTTACTTCAGAGGCTGCAAATGGCGAATTACAATCATCGTACTTGTCTTTTATCAAGTCAAGAACTTGCACTAGAAGAGATGGATCACTTTTTGTCCGCATGCCAAAGTGGGCGAACATCTGAGAGTGTTTCGTCATCTCCGGAGGAAGAATGCGAATGAACGGTGCGAGGTTAATGGCTGGCTCAATGGCAAGCACGTGGCTAGGGGAGGAAAAGCCGTCTCCATTCCACACCCAGTTGAACTGTGGATATTCTAGTGCTTCTGAGACTTCATCATAGTTTGCACTGCTCAAAAACGAATAGACTTCGTTTACCAAAACACTGTAATACGCCTTCTCTTCCTCAATGTAATGCCTGACTGCCTTCTGCAAATGCTTAACTACATCAGCGACGTCTGGTTTCTTCAGCCAGCCAAAGTAATCCGCGACTTCAGTTGAGTACTCAAAGTCGATAACCGGTTTAACTGTTCCGATGAGATTGATCAGTTGAGGGCTCTTCAGTTCAGAAGGCTGGAAAAAGGGTCTTTCTCCTTTTCCTGCTTCAAACCACGGGAGTGAAGGCGGGAAATTTGCTGTTTTCTGGCGCAACCGTGGCAGCCAATGGATTTTCATCAGTAGCGATCCCAACTCTTCTCCATCAATTTTGCTTTTAAGTTTCTGTGGATGACGTTCAAGATGCTGCAAAATTGCATGAGACTTCTGTCTTGCTGTTGAAGGGTCTGAAAGCACACTAACGCTTACAGCGCTTTGAAGGAGGTCTTTCACAGTGATATTGGATTCGCTTTTCATTCCAATTTCTTCCAAAACGTTTAGGACGATGGGATCGTTATACAACTGGCCGACGGGAAAAACATTTTCCGTGACAAATATTTGCCTTAAGCTCTCACTTCTGGGATCAAAGACATCCGTTGTCTTCACCCGAGGACTCTTATTTGCCTTTGGCAAGAATGGCAACGCTTGCATATCCCGCTTGAAGAAAGCATCGGAACGAATGGTGTTCGAAAAATGCGTGAGCACATAGGACATTAACTTATCAATCTGCCCTCCATTATACTTGCCGTTTTGGATGTCAGGAAATACTGCTTCGCAGAGCACTTCTGTTGGTTTAAGAATCCGAACTTCAAGAAGGAGAGCTAGACTCCTAGATTCTTCTTGAGAAATGTCAATGAGTTCCTGTCTCGGTTGAATGGGAAGAGATTCGATACCCGCTGCTGGCAGACCTTCATTTTTGGACACAAACCTTTTGGAGAACGTCTCAAAAATCGGAAGAGAGCACATGAGATTTCTTTCTTTTTTTCCTACCTGCACTGGTTTAACATTAGCAAGGAACGATCTCAAACTTCGCTTTTCTCTTGCAGAAACCCCTCTCACGACTTCGGACAACTTTTTAGTGGTAAACTTGGAGTCTAAGTTCACTATTGTCTTAAAAATGCCATGGACATTGGGACGATGCACAAAGGTATCAAGGACAGAGGGGTGATCAAGTATAAAGTCCGGACAATCAGTCAAGACAGTCCCGCCCATCTTTGTCAAGACATGCATCAAAGCATCATCGATGACGTCCCCACCCAAGCTTTTAATCACGATTGTGGAAGGATTATTAAGTGGCCTCAAAGTAACAGTTGACTGTTTCATGCTGACTGGAATTAAGGAAAAGTTCTGAAGTCGGTGAAGCCTCTCTGTAGTAGAGAAATGGTCGCGAACGTATCTCCAAATGAGCTCGATCCAGTCTCTTGGGGGATGGTTGTGGTTTTTGTCTTCTGGGTGCCACAGAACAGTTTTTCCTTGACTCCACTCGGAAGGCAGAAATTCTTTAAGTAGAACTATCACGTCGGTTTCGGCGAGAAGTCGTAGCTGGGTGCATTCTATGAAAGTAAATCATTAGCGTAAAGAGGGAGTGCCTGCCGCTGTCAAAATTATCTACTGTTTTCAGGTACTCCCTTCGAATTAAGATAACTATTAACAAGACACAGCTTCTGAATTATTTGAAAGATGGACGTTGGCATCTTTGTATGTCAGCACGGAACAAAAAAAATAAACAACTAAAAGATAATATCATGGCGTTGTTAATAACCAAATTGGTACTGGTAGCTTGGTACACATTGTATCAATCATCTGGACTATATATGCATTTAAAGGGATTAAGCTAGAACGGTTATGAAGGAGATTAATCATTTCCAAACTTAAATTTTCAAATTACCACATTGCTCAACGGGATTAAAAGGACTCGCAAAGGGATAACCTAGTATTCTTGAATCCGATTTAAAACCAGAAAATTAGCGCCAAGAATTGAGGCAGGCGGGATGACGAGGGCATGAAACTTTGCACTAATGATAAATCCTGAAAAATTTCCCCTCGGTAAATGGTGTCACCCACAAAGAGGAGTCTCCGAGCAGTGCTACCTTGTACTTTGACTGACCTTGTCTGGCGGCGCAATTCAGCTTTTGACGGATGTCTGAATCCACCATTCCATCTAAGAAGCGGTGCTCTAGGCCAGGTAGAAGATCTTGAGAATGCTCAGGCGAGCTGATGTAGATTTCGTGGGCACGGGCTGAAAAGGTAGTAAATGTGTCATTGGAGAGAGGCAAAAGTTCCAGGCCGCCAAGGTCGTCATATTGGTGATCTTGTAAACAGAACTGAAGAAGCTGCAGCTTTTCATGCCTCATAAGGTTTTTATAACAAGCTGAAGCGTTCCTCAATTCTTTTCTCATGGCGCTAGCTGTGATATTCTTGATATCCTTAGCGTCGATAAAAGAGCTGATGGCATCCATAACATGGCTTTGTACAGAGACAACTGGAACGTTCGCTGCAAGCAAGACACTTTGAAGTAGCTCTTTAAGATGTTTTTCAGGTACCTGGTTGAAAATTGCATTTTCAGCAAGGAGCCATTTCCCCCCATTGACTTTGGTGTACACAATTTCCTTGCCTTTAAGGATCCGAAACAATGGTTCCACAACGCTCTTCCATTTCTGGTTGACTCGTATGAAATCTGGCCACGCTCTGTAACAAAGTAAATGAATCATCATTGTTCAAATGAATGAAAAATTTTAGTTGTTGAGGTTATGAGTGCAATGACAGAGGCCAATGCAATTTCGTTGGAGGCAGCATAATGAAATATCGAAGCGATTTATCTCCTCAAGGATGCTGGTGTCCATATGATGACTAGCAACTCAGAGAAATATGTCCAGGTAACACAGCGAATATACAGTCGAACCTCTCCACCAAGGCCACCTCGGGGACAGAAGAAAGTGGCCGTTGTAGAGAGATGGCAGTTATGGGGAGGTAGTGGTGTAATATGACAATTTTTTGGGAGGAGTACATGTTTATTGTGCTTATGTCATGGTTAGTGAGTCCCATAATGGTAATCCAATCATAAAAAATATAGAGAGATAAAATACACATAAAAACGTGAATTAAGATTTTGAATCAAAATGTCAACGTGACAAAACGAGCGGGGTTCGCAACATTCGCGATAAGTATTGTACACAAATTATGCTTACTGCAGTATACATGAAACAAAGTCAAAATGCAATCGGCAATAACAACGTAGCCTGTTCCAGGTTCCGAGATAGTCGGGTCCGCTGAATTGAGAAAGCGCAAACACGAAAATAATACGGGAGGAAACTGGGGAGAGGAGGGGCGGTGGAGCCTGTAATCATTTCGTTAAAAGACCCGTTCCGGTATACCAGCTGCTGGTATACCCTCTGACTGGTCAGATTTGACAGATTATACCAACACTCTCAAAGCGGGTAGTTCCTGTCACTTACAAAGATGGCGTGCGGCGTCCACGCGAGTGAAATAGAGGAATCCATGACAACTCCTGTGTTGAACGAATTCAGTTTACGAGATTTCCCGCACATAGGAGCGCTGAGGAAGGAAGAGAAGACCTGCCTTGTGAACTCGGCACGTAGAAAAGATGTTTTTGTAAGCCTGCCGACCGGTTTCGGGCTTGCTTGATAACAAAGTGGCAATAACAGAACAGTCGCAAGAAGGAGTTATCTACGCGCTCCAGTCCAGACTCACATTATTTTTAGATCCCTTTAGAAGAACAAGCTGGAGTTTAAAAATAATTGCTTAAGAGCAATCTTGACTGACTTACAACGTAGTTTTCCATGTTTACAGTAGCTTCAGTTTAAGCTGCAATCCATTTTTCGAAGTTTGTATCTGTGAATCACTATCCGTGAGAATTTAACATCTTGCAAAAACACTAATGAGCTGGGCCCAGCGTGACGAAACTCATTGTAGGAGACCATCACATTGACGGACAAACGAAAATCGCTTTCAGTTATTCAGAACAAAGGGGGCCTTTGGAGAAAAATAAACAACCTAAAACCCTTATTTAGCCGCAATGAAGAACTTTACATTTCCAGAGAGTTCAAAGAAAACGCTGTTGCATCAGAGGGCAAATCATCAATCATGCCGATCAGAAGCAATAACCTCAGAAAATCAATATGCGTCTCACGACCACTCAGCATGAAACAGGTTGCAAAAATCACATAGTTTGCTCAGTCAAAGTGTAAACCCCTCCGGAGCATAATCTACCTGTAAGAGAAAATATTCGCTGAAACAAGCACCATTTTGGCTCGAGATAAAAGTCGTGTGTTGCCTACCGACTCGCTTTTTACACTCCAGATTGCTCACACTCACATAAGGGATTAGCGCCACGCAAAATAATCTCGCGAGAAATTTGAGAAAGATTCCAACTCATTGCCATTTCAACAGTTTAACAGCCGAAATCTAATAATCTCAAACGTACCAAAAGTGGGCGGAAGATGGTCGTAAAAGAAATGATTACAGGCTCTCTCTTTTCCTTCCTTTTCCTTTTTACCGCCCCGCCACTTTTTCCCGTGCCTTTTTCTTTCGTGTCTTCCCCACTATCTGAGAGCCTGGAACAGGCTAATAACAACGTGCCATACGGATCAAATTTTATGATCATTGTTGACTTTTTCATCGGTCGCTGACTTGTCGAGGAGGATATTTGACAGTTGGTAACAGGTGTTAGTGGCCGTTGCGTTGTAGAGAGGTTTAAATAAGAGTCAATGTTTGGACTGTCCGCCGAGCAAAATATAGTGGCCGTTGTAGAGAGGTGGCAGATAGTGGAGGTTCGACTGTATGGACAAAACTCTTCGACAATCGTTAAGATAGCTGGTCTATTTTAACGATTGTAGCGACAATATGAAAGTCTTAGCTTTAGTACTACTTAGAGGTAAGGCAGCTATTGGTTTTCCAACTTATGTAGAATACAATTTCATGGATGAGATGCTAACGTTTCATCATAATTGCCTTTTAGAAAGGGTGCTTCCATTTATACGTCATAAACAGAAGGGACTACTTGGTCCGCAGAAAGAAAGCAACCACGGGGAATTATGTTCGCAGATTATACTGGGGTCAAATTAATAAAACTTTTACTAGAATATTGTCAAGTGTAGCTATTATTTTCAGACTCCAAAACAATAACTTTACTTGTCAATTATACTTGTGAAAGTTTTATTATATTGACCCCTGGCTTTACACTTTCTTACAGTTATCACTTACTGGTAAACGGTCGCTGCTTGCACTTTGAAGCTCTTGTCGTTGATGGCTTCTAAAATCATCGTGGCATGGGCTTGGGGTATGGCCTCTTCTAAAAGACACTGATTCCATTTTAAGGATTTGTCAGTTAAAAGGTGACCTTCCTGTTCAGCGGTTGGAAACTTGATATGACCTCTATTCTGATTTTGGGCAAAGAAGCCATTCACATGCACTGGTAAACCTGTCAGACTGGTCTTTCCGGCTGGCACCGGTAACGGCAAGACACAAAATACGTGACCTTGAATTTCTGGGACGGGATCCTGGGGGCTTGAGGGCAATGCCATGGCAACGCCAACTAAGGGTAGGTAGCTGAGACTTGGATCCACAACAAGCGCTTGAAATTCAGACGATAAATCCCCGCCACAAACATAACTGGTTACAAGGTACGAATGACTGTGTTTGCCTGCTTCTACCCCTTGGTGATATTGTACTGTCTCAATCGTAATTGGATAAGTGACGTGGACTGAGTGGGGCAAAAGCTGACCGCTAGGGACTGCTTCTTGAAACTCCTTTCTCTTTTCTCGTACCAACGGAAGGCTTTCTTCGGATATTCTGACTTGAAACATTCTTCTGGCTTCCTTTTCTAACTCTTCACGAGCGTACAGTTCAATACTTTCAAGATGTTGCATAAACAGAAGAACCAAGTGGGCATCAGCCATGAAGCTATGGAACAAATCGTTAATCTTTTCGGCAGAATACAAAGTCTCTGATAACTTGGACGGCTCAGTTCGTAGTGGAAAGCGGAAAAGAGTACCCTTGTATGAGCCGGTGGTGAAAATGTCCTCTGGGCCGTCAAATACTCCCCTGTAAGGAGCAAACTGGTCTGGTATGGTGTTCATGATATCACTGTCATCTCTTATGTCCCAGCTATATCCTGTAAGTCCTTCTTCAAAGCATCTCTCGTGTGGATCAATTACGCCGATCTGCGAGGTGCTCATGATGCTTGGTAGATCTGTGGTTAAGTAAGAATGCGATATGAGAATCAACTAGAGATGAAGTTTAGGTACTTGACCAGGCTTAACATTAACAAAGTGAACCTATTAATTTTAATATTACACGCTATTGTCATTTGCATTGGATGTACCACACTTGTAGCGTATTGAAAAAGGTAGTACACTCTTTCTTTTAAAGAGAATGTTGTTTTTCCTGCCCAGGCTGAATATTCTTATTGTTCTACCGATTTTAGGCTAAAAATATTCTTGCGTTATTCTTAAATTATAGCTTCTGACTTTTCCGTTTTAGAATGTATTGGTGTATAAATTGGAGTTAATGCACGTTTTGGGGGTCTTTTGGTGGCTAGTTTTGCGGTTAAGAGAAAGAAATAAATAACCGCCTCAGTGAACGCGTTCTTACCTGTAACATGGAACACTGACTTGAACCCCAGGCCAAAACAATCCTTTTTTATTGGATCTTTGACCTTTTCGCTCTCAAAAAGCATTCTGATACCTTCCCAGTCACTGTGCTTAAACTCGGCGTTATTGTAAGCATAAAGTGCGGGTCCCTGTTAAGAATATTGCGTTTACAGTTAGCTGATTTAAAAAGAGCAACAGTTTTGTAATGGAGAGAGCAATAGAGTTGTAAGTTTTGCTACACCAAAAGCAAAAGCAAACGGAATGCTAATTTGCTTGCAAACGCCATTCGTAACTTGCACTTCGACCAAATAACTCCCATTTCTTCGAAAAATACACGGATCGAGCTGTTATTTCTTCCCATAACAAAGCTAACTCTTTAAAGCTACTTGCGGGTAGTCGTGAGTAACACATTTTGCTCAATTAGCCGTGAAAAAAGCACATAAACTGCACTCAAAAAACATTTTTGAATTTTTCTTTTCCCTTATATGACGTCGTTGAGTCTTGAGTAAAGTTCTAAAATTGGGCCAGGGTTCTTAAAAACTGTGGCAGATTAATACCAACTGATAAATAAGTAGATAGGTAGTAGACAGTGTAGGCTGACCTGAAACTTAGCAAGTTCCTTGCTGTGTAGTTTCTCTTTTCCATAGCTGTGACGGTCATGAAGAAATTTAACTTGACTTGCACCAGCATCTTCTGCATTTTGAATGAGCTCCTGATACAAATAAACCCAACTAAGTATTCATTAGATATTTTTAATTATTATATAAACACCAATGAAATACCAGGTGAGCTTTCGCACGAAAACTTGATATCTTCACGTGTGAAAATATCACCGTTGCTATGGCTACTTAATAGATCGCTCCTTTCACACCAAAAAAAACTTTGAAGTGAAATGGTTCGGCAGTTCGTTGGTGTTTGTATAATAAATAGAACATTAAATGGCCGCTTGGAGATACGGAATTTCTCTTCTAGTGTTGAAAAAATGTTTCACTCGTTCGCTGCGCCCACTCGTGAAATATTTTTCAACACTCGAAGATAAATTTTGTATCTCCGCGCGGCATGTATTATTATCCTCTATATACCTTTACAGACTGCCATCAAGCGTTTTTATTTATTTATTTTTTTGAGAATAGGGAAAAGAAACAAAGGTCTGATACATTTTTATTGCACAAGAGGCCAATGGGCCCCCGCTATAAATTATCTAACATCTGGCCCCAGTTGTTCAAAAGGTTGATAACGCTATCTACCGGATAAATCTCTATCCACTGGATAGTGCAATTGGTTTTCCTAATGCTTATCTGTTACATAGATTTATCCGGTCGAAAGCGCTATGTAACGTTTCGACAACCGGGCCCGGGGCGATATCAAGACGTGAAAGTGGTCGCTACTGAATGTTTCACAATTCAACCTCTTTGGAAGGAGGCACGATTGATATGTTAAGTAATATTTCATATATCAGGCTGGCGCTAATGAGTTGAGATTAAAGCATTTTAATAACCTTTGCCTCACCTTCAGAATCTGTCCATCATCCGGGTACTGCTCCAAGGCTATTTTCAACTGCTGAATCAGATTAAAACCTGGGGAAAAAGCTTCATAAGTAACTATAAATAAATATCCCGGCTTTTAGGCTAGAATGATAAAATAGAGTTTCTGACTCACTATAATTACTTGAAATGTTTTTACCACAGGCACAAACCACTTCTCCCATGGTCTCCTATCGTTATCCTCTTACACCAATCATACTGAATGCTTAATTCACTTATAGCTTTCCAGAGATGACATCTTTGGTCAAAGAAGGGCATCGGTCAATTATAAGGACGAGAATAATGATGATGGTGATGATGATGATGACGATGGCGATGATGATGATAATAATTATGATAATGATAAGATGGGATGAAATAGGTTATACGTCGGGTTGGGGTGCATTGGGATGAGATGGAATAAGATTAAATAAACGGGATGGGACAGACAGGGATCAGATGGGATAGGAGAGGATGAGACGGTTAAGAAAAGTATGGAATAAAATAGGAGGGGTGATGGGAAGGGATGATGTAGAAGGTTATGGAATGGAATAGATCTCTGTAGCTTGTATGTTTTGTTTACCCAGTAGAGGTCCAGGGGGAACTGGCCCTTTGTCTTTTCATACATTAAGCGTAGATATGCGCGTGAATAAGCCCACCGTGGTTGTTGACGATTGGTGTATCACGAACTGTGCTCATAGTTGGGAGGGTCTCAATCCGAAGCATGAGTAAAACTTTTTGGACAGATATTGAACACAAATCACCATACTACTTACTCATTATGCAAGACAAAATCAATCTTCAACTGAGTAAAATCGCTTCATAATTCATCTGAAAGACAGGTGGTAAAATAAAGCGTTATTTTTTTTAATGAACAAAAAAGAAGACTTAAACGATAGGCCTAGAAGTTTGGACAAGTTTGCAAGTTTAGTGGAATTGTTGGAAGCTCATCCCGATTTCTGAACTAGACGGTTTATGGAATATTTTAACGGGAAACTGAATAGTTATTCGACTTATTCTACTCACCCTAAAAAGCAAGTTTTAGAGGTCAATAATGTTACCAGCCATCTTATACTGAAGCTAATTTCCGAAAAACAAGCGGAACAATTGAATATTTTGATTTCTAAGAGTAAGAAGAATGCCGCCGGAGTTGGTTCAGACTGTGAAGAAACTTCAGGCACAATTAAGTCGACGCTGCAGTTTGATAGCAGTGATTTATCGCCCATAAAGACCGAAGTTATTGAAAAAGATGATGTCAAAATTATCCCGGCAAGGTTCCCTCTGACTTGTTACCGCAAAAACAACAAAAAAAGCAGAGCTGTAGCTAGCGGGGGGACAAGGGGGCAGCTGCCCTCCCCGGACCTGTTGAGCCAAACACATTAAGTCTGTGGATGGATTTGTTTTCTTTAGACTCAATAATTTTGATTATAGTGACTTACAATTGTTTTCCATTTTCATATTCGAGGTCGATTTTTAGGAGACATATCTCATGACAAGTGCTAAAAATTCCAAATTTGAAAATTTTCTGGGGAAGGATACCCCCAGACCCCCCTACAAGGTTCGTACCTTCGGCACTCGCGATAATGCTCTCGCCACCCCCGTTACAAAAAACCTAGCTACGGCCCTGAAAAGTCTAAACATAGCAGACACAAAAAGATCAAGAAAGCAAGACGGGCGAAAGAATATTCCAGTGATTCTAGCGGCTCGAGTTCGGAAGAAGATAAACGACATACAATGCACTGTACTGTTTTCCCGGTCAGCCACAGGGACATCATAATCCTATGCCATTTGATTTTAACAACCTCATCGACAACTTTATCCGCAACTTAACGAAGCTGTGAAACCCTCTTCAATTAATGTTGTTGAAGGAAGCGGTTTCTAATTTCTTTATACTGTGAGATTTTTTTTTTGTTTTTTTGTTGTTGTTGTTGTTGTTGTTGTTGTTTTTTTTTTTGGAATTCTGGTGTGTACTTCATGTAAAACATCGTATATTGTCCAGGATTACACCCATGTCATGATCACTACTAAATGAAGTAAGTGTAGAAACTGTTGTAAGTGTACTAGCTGTAGTAAGCGTAGTAGTTGTAGTAAGTGTAGTAACTGAAGTATCTGTTAGTGTAGTATCTTTAAGTGTAGTAGCTGTAGTATGTGCAGTATCTGTAGTAAGTGCAGTATCTGTAGTAAGTGTAATAGCTATAGTAGCTGTAGTAAGTGTAGCAACCGAGTGGTCGAGTTTAAAGCTCTCTTAAACGTCTTTCCCCCTGTTTCAGCTTTAAATGGTCTCCATTCAAAGTCTAAACGGGCGAGTGGTTGGGGATTAGGTTGAGGCGCGAGCGGGGTCTCATGGGAAGGGACCAAGGAACCTAATCCCCAATCTTCTCTCACCCCAAAAAACACTTAAATAGCGACTGGGTACGAGTCTGCTATAAACTGGGAACTGCAAACTGAGCTCATTTATTAGCAACTCCGTTGAGAAAACAACTACAGGCAATTGGATAGAATACTCTACTGTTTTCTTGACAAACAAATGTACACTCAAAATTTACAACCTAAATCGCTCAGAAGTTCGCAAATTTATCAGTCGTTATAGCCACAGACAGTGCCTGAAGAAATTCCTTGACATGAAAGGAGTTATTCTGCTCTGGGCATTGTAAATTGCTACTTCGAATTCAGCGTAATGTTCTGTAAGTTCCGAGTTCTTGCGTATAAACCAACTCTTAAGAAATCTACAATATAACATCGTCTGTCCTCGCTATTCCTCTGTTCCCACCAACTCCAGGCTGAGCGCTCCCTGTACGTAAGAAGCGGATCGAAAATATTTCTCACTGTCTTTCTCGGTAATTAAACTGCTGAGCTGTTTTCATTTTTGAATGGTTTCGAACCCTCTAACCATTTTTCAAACTATCACGTCCAAATAATGTCGTTTTTCACACCCGTTTTCAGACCTGGCTTGTAAAATCTATACCCGTTCTAAGTAATTATGTATTTATTGCTTAGATTAGAACAGCAACAAAAAAGATGTCTTAATTCCATTTCGAATTCGCATTTTTCACTTTCTTTCTAAACTCATTTGGAATTGAAACGATAAATACGTTCGTACACTCCCATAGTTCCCTTGTAAACTATACCCAATTCCAGACCAAAGTCTACGCTCGCTTTCAAACCAAAACGGCCCAAAAACCCTACCCTTTAGGGCGGCACATACCTATATGGCTTATATAAGGGAGTACTCCCCCCCCGGATTTCTGATAAAGATAATATAATATAAAGATAATATAAAGATAAGTTTCGAAGTTCAGTCGCGCCAAAGTTGACAATTACGTTTTGAAGTTCGCAAGTTGATTCTGTATTGGCTACGTCGTAACGTAGTACCCAATTTCCCAACTTCGCAAACGCTGCGCGGTGAAGTGATGTGAAAGCGACGGTATTTAATGTTAGCCACATGTTGTGTTTCAAAATTTATCAGCAAAAATTCCGGCGCTAAAATTAGCGTAAAGTTCCAACGCAACCAAAAGAATAGCGCCGTCACGGAATTTTAATACGACGCCCCCGAAAGAATGAGA